AACATAGAAAATAATTGACAGTTCCCGCTTCACTGAATAAGTAAAGAAACAATGATGGGAGTAGTCTTTAACTGTCGTACGAGATGCCCACAAGGAGCCCCCGTCTAACACTTATTACTACACCCGCCATGTCACTTCACAGAGTCGGACTAGAGTCAAGCTCAACAGGGTCTTCTTTCCCCGCTAATTCTGCCAAGCCCGTTCCCTTGGCTGTGGTTTCGCTAGATAGTAGATAGGGACAGTAGGAATACCGTTAATCCATTCATGCGCGTCACTAATTAGATGACGAGGCATTTGGCTAGGACATATTTATTATGCCAGTTGCCGAAACAACTGACAGTACTCATGAATGTCACGTTAAGAAGAATGCACTTGTACAGGTTATGAGATCAGAGTTCATTATATCTGCACATACACAGATTTCAGTGACATGTCAATTTAGAGTCTGCACTCCCGCTATTGCCGCATCGCCGTTGGTGGTTGTCTTCGGCGGCCACCGGCCCCACGTGTGTAGACATCATATGCCTTTAGGGATCCCCGTATGGCACAGACGCACAGATCAGAGATATCATAGTCCGTTAATCCGACGGTTTTCAGGTGCCTTTCCGAACTCCTGAGAATTCCGCCTCGTGATGAGAATATCGCCGGCTTGTACAGGACCGGGTAATCGCTCGGCTTTCCGAAGATTGCGCGAAGATTGTTGGCGATTTCATCGGTAGAGTAACGATTTACTTTTCCCGTGTACACTCGGTCCATGTAGCCCTCACCGGCAACTACAACATCGATGACGTGGATGGCCCCCTTCTCACAAACAACAATATCGGGCTTGCGATATGAGGACCCTTCAGGGACATGAGGCTCCAGAAGCACATCGGATTTATTTCTCCTCATCTTCGCGGCAGCAGATTTCATAATGCTATTGTGACGCCAGATCCGCGCATCCTTTGTCAATTGACAGCACTGCAGAATATGGGGGAGGGTTTCAACTTGGCCGCATTGCCCATGACAGAGGGTATCAGGGAGCCCTTTTCTCCTACTCCTTCGGGCTTTCGTTGACAAGACACCAGCACGAAGCTGAATGCCCCGCAAGTAGAGCCAGGGGAACAATCGGTCAGGAGAGGATAGCCAGTGGTGAACACAGGCAGAGGTCCCGATATGGGCAAGTGGGCGGCCATCCGCTGAGCGGTGTAGCTGGTCCTTCCACATCTTCCGCGCATCGTCCTTCGAGTTTATAACAGTCTGGTGTAGGAGCACAGGGCGAGAGGCTTGATGAAGGGTTGCCACGGCTGCTGGTAATGCCGCGACCACTCTGACTGCAACCTCCGCAGATGACAGCTGTGAGTCCAGACGTTTTCGCTTCAGAAGTGGAATAGTAGTTGAGAGGCAAGGTAGTCCGAGGCCACCGTCCGTTAGACGCGCGTAGAAAAAAGCCGTCGGCGTGTCTGCAGGAAGGCGTAACCAGGTCCTCACTGCCTGTCGGATTTGTACATCAAGGCGCTTCAGTGTCTGTCGGTATACGGAGCCCAGCACCAGGTCATGCATGAGTTTAGGCACACAATGACGTTTCAGGAGTGTTATCCTCTGATGAGGTTTCAACGGGGCCTGGGAAATCTCCGTGAGCATCTGATGGAGTAATGGACGGTGCCGAATTGGCTGTTTACCGCGGTAGGTGAACGGAACCCCCAGGTAAGTGAAGGCATCCGTTGGGCCTAATTCCCGGAGCGGTTCTCCCCCAATGCCTACATTGCACGGGCTGAGACACGAACTCTTCGCTTTTCCCAGTGCCTGTACATAGAATGTCAGACACTTCGCCGGGTTTAGGACCATCCCTGCGTGGGACAGACCAGTAGCTAAACCATCAAGACGCTCTTGAGTCATAGTTACTCCCGCCGTTTACCCGCGCTTGGTTGAATTTCTTCACTTTGACATTCAGAGCACTGGGCAGAAATCACATTGCGTCAAAACCGATCAGCAGACATCGCAATGCTTTGTTTTAATTAGACAGTCGGATTCCCCGTGTCCGTGCCAGTTCTGAGTTGGCCGTTTGACGTCAGACAAGTGCCCCAAGGCTACACAACTGCCGCCATCGCTACCACCGCTGCTACAAGAACAACAAGCAGCAACGAGGACAACCAGTAACTTCATAGTCAAGTTGTGCCGTCACACTCGGGTCTGGTGCGTTATCTGACAGCATTGGAGTATACGGAAGAGATTCTCCCTTTGGCCGCACTGCCCTCGACAGAGAATATCAGTCATCGTGCAAATCGCTTTTAGACAATCGACACGAAACTTTTATATCTTTTGGCCATATTTAACTGGACGTAATTTCACCTGAGCGACAAGCCTCATTCACTGACTTCGTCTCGTATTTTACCCGGCACATTCACCTTACGGCCAACGATTGTGGAGAAGGCTTTATTTATCGTGAGTCTGTACAATTATTTAACTTTTGTCGTTTTTCTTATACTCATTTTTCTATCGTTATTTTTTTGTAAGAAATGTAGTATACCCCACTTAGAGTTAGACATTTATTGATCCGCAAGGTTCGGCGTCCTCATCTTCCTTCGGAGTACCGCCCTATAGC